AACTGGACACCCTGCCAGGCCAGAGGGAGCGAGCCACAGCCATCCTGTTGGCCTGCCGCCATCTCCCCCTCTCCTTCCTCTCCTCCCCGGGCCAGCGAGCAGTCCTGCTGGCTGAGGCCGCCCGCACCCTGGAGAAGGTGGGGGACAAGCGCTCCTGCAATGACTGCCAGCAGATGATCGTCAAGCTGAGCGGGGGCACGGCCATTGCTGCCTCCTAACGCCAGCGTGGGGCCACCTCGTGCAAAGACAGCCTGGTCGACTGTCAGCCTGGACTTCCCTTCTGGAGCTTGGGAAAAAAAAAAAAAATTGCTAGGTTAGGGCTGTGCTGGTGGGATCGCGATGGGGTGGGAGAGGGAGGGAGGGTTTTAGTTTTGTTTTTTTTAACTTGCACCAGGTTTAGCTTTATTAGCCCCCTTGCTTGTTCTCAGGCGCTGCAGCAGAAATCTGTCTAGTTGTGGTTTTTGCAGCTGTGCCTGGGGCTGTTGGGAAGCACTGCCCCGACTCAGAGCCCCCGTCTCTGCTGGGGGGAGAAGCCCGCAAGCCCAAGGCATAGAGAAGTGGCACATCCTGTGTCTGTCCTCAGGGACATCTTGTTCCCTTCCCAAACACCTCTGTGAGAAAGAAACCTTTGAGGAGGGCAGAGGATCTGCTCAAGCCTTGCCCCACGGGTCTGCTGGGGTCTGGGGCTGTTACCGAGAGAGAGGGGGAAGGCACCAGCTTTCCTTGAGCTGTGTGTCAGGAAACTGAAGCCCCCTAGACCCAACTTACAGAGGTGCTCTGGGAGTATCGCTTGGGGCCAGTACTGCCTGGCAAATTTCTCTACAGTTTTTATACAGGTTTTTTTATAGGAGTGTTTGTGGCTTTACAAAAATGTAGGGAACGATGCAGCAGATTTCCCTTCCTCTCCACTTCATGCATCTCCTTCCTGTGTAGCTGCCTCCGGTTTTTGGCAGAGGGCTGAGTTTGTGCCAGCCTACAACAAACAGCCTCACAGAAGGCCGGGGTGTCCCCAGTCATCTGGTGCTGGGTGGCAGCAGAGGTGGACATGCAGCGCCCTGCACGCGGCGTGAAGGGTGAATGCTTCTCTGGTGCCTTTTTGTTGATGCAGAAAAAATTTTTAGAAACAGGGTTTTTTTATTTTACTCAACTCCCAGTCCCAGAACTTGTCTTCAGGTGTTTCTCCTTCCCTTCTCCAACTGCTCAACAGCTCCTGAGCTCTGGCAGGGATTGGGAGGTGCTGGTTCAGGGTGCGAGTCTCCCAGCTCTGTTACCATCGCTATTCAGAGCAGTTTGACTTGCAGGTGATAAATCGCCTGTGACTTTCCAAGAGGGGGAGGCGGATTGGGGACAGGGAGGGAACGGTTTGCCCTCTCTCTCTCTGCTTTTCCTGTTGCATCTCTCCGAAGAAGTGCAAAGTGGTTGCCCTTTCGCATGTGCAAATGTGGAAACCGGCCTTTGGCAGGGGGACATCGCTGTTTCTCCCTGTGCGTAGCCGGTGTGTGCTCCGCGTTGGCAGCTAGAAGCACTTAGATGCAGGCAGCAGCCCGATCCTGTGAGGCCTGTACAGCCTGACGACTCCTGCAAAATCAGAACTCGGGCTGTTTTGCAAGAAGCTTCTATGTGTATCCAGCTTTTGCAGAGGGGCATGAGAGCTTGAGCCCCTTCCAAAATGAGGGGAAAAAGATGGGGGCTTGTCTCACTTTGCATGGGATCTTTTGGCATCTGGGAGGGGGATTTCATGGGCTGCAGGAATTGACCGCAAGTAATGCTAGTCCTAGACTTGCCTGGCTTCAACAAGATGGAAACCGGGGCCAGGAGAAACCTGTCTTCCAGCAAAGCCTGTTCCCAGTGACCCTGGGCTATAGCTGCAAACAAAAATGTGGGGACCAGAAGACGCTTTCCTCCCTCCCCCACCTTATTTGGGGAATAGCTGGTGGACACCCAGCTACAATGGCCGGCAGCCTGTGTTTCTCACCCTACTGGCAGGGGCGTCCCTTGCTTCCCAGGGTCAGCAGTTGGAGGGGAGCTCATTCTCTGAGGGGGAAAGTTTGCTCTTGCATGTCTTCGATTAGTGTAGGGGATGCTCTGGTGGCAGACACTCCTGCTTTGAGCAGGTATTCTCAGTGTGCAGAACAGCTCTTGGGTTTGGGTGGGTTTTGATTGCCCATCCCAAGTTTCCTAGCTTACCAGTGATCCTATTTCGGGGGGGGGATCACATCCTCCTACTTTTTCTCCTCTTAAGTGGCTCTTGTGCTGTCTTCCCCGTTGTGGGTTTTCCCTAAAATACAGAAACTCCTTACCTGTGGCAACCTCCGAGTTATTTCGCATTTTCCCAGATCTGCATCCAACACGTGGGAAGTTTTGTGCTTTAGTACAAGAGGAAGCGAGACTTGGAAAACGGGGATGCTGAGGCTTCACTTTGTGTCACTAACAGTGGACCGAGTCCTGGGGGATGGGCTGCAGGGAGTACCGGCTGGGCTGGGGGTGGGAGGCTGCCGGGCTGAAACCCTGGTAGCTAATGGCATGATCCACGGAGGGTCCTAGCACTGCTGGTACTTCTCTCCTCTCCAGGGCAAGGGCTCTTTGCCCTGTTTTTTCTACACGGTTCGTAAATTTGCTGCCCATCTGTCCCTACAACTTTTTTTATATGTGTGTGTATATACTGTAACTTTTTTTTGTTTGTGGGTGGGAAGAAATTGTTTTATGGATTATGTGAAGAAAGTCTATTTATCCACATGGAGTTCAGAGTAGGGATGCTTTGTGAAATGAGGTGCAGCTGGTGGTGGGGAGGTTCCCCAGGGAACATATCTGCTGTCCGAAAACCCTGTTCCAGGGCTCATGAGCATGTTACCTAATAAAGGCAAACATTACCACCACCTTGCGCCTGCCCTCTTTCTCTCAGCCCTCTTCATCCCACCCGGCAGCTGCGTAGGTGAGCCTGAAATGTCCTTCAGAGACATCCAACCACACGAGTGCCTCGGGAAGCTGTCACTCCTTTGTCCAGATAACCTGGAACATGGAGCTGTACGGCTTGCAATGAAAGATGGTCCCTTGGTGGAGCAAGTGTGGTGTCTCTGCGCTCGTTTGGAAGCAACCCAAGAAGCTGATGTCTTGAGCAGAGCTGGGCCAGAAGCCTGCAATTTTAGGAGCATCTGTATGGGAGGAAAGCTTTTACCTGACCTTGCTTGGAACAATGTCCTTTCACTCCACCTCTTCATTTCTCTGCTTCCCCCTGGTAAAACTCTGTCAGAACCATTAAACTTCAGACAGAGATCTGTTTGGTTTTCATGTAGCTGCTCGAAGGGTTTTGCAGTTGGCCCTGGAAGCTGTGTTCCCACCATGTCCCCCACTGGGGGAGTTCCCTGGGCCCTGTGGGAGTGGGCTTTGTGCTCTGCTGCCCATGGGGAAGGGGCTGGGGTTTTGGGAGCAGCGCAGGGTCCCCCAGCCAATCCATACTGAGGCCATACAGTTTAATGTAGTATTTATTGGCAAGGTGGAGGCCAGGGCAGTGGGGAAGGGAGGCTGGGGAGGGAAAGAGGCTGCTTGGGCTCTCTTGCTCTTCCCCCGCCTGGTCATGGGGGCTAGGTGGGGGTGCCTGGCCCCAGCAGGATGTGTTCCCCCCATCCCTGGGGACTGTGGTCTGTCTGTCATTGGCCCCCGTCCCTTGAGCAGCGCACTGCTCTGCCAGTGTGCCCCCGGCTCAGCCTCTTCACGGGGCGGGCTGAGAATGGCTGAAACTTGTTGCCCAGATGAGAGGGACAGCCTGGCCCACGGTGCCTCCTCGATGGTGAAGTGCAGCTGGCAGCCCCCATCCCCGAGAGAGGAAGGACAGTGCGTCTCCCGCCATGGCCAGCTGTCATGGTTTACGTAGGACCTACGATGCTTTGCTCCAGCGGGCCACCCCCGGGGGAGGCCATCAGCGATGCTCAGGCGAGGGGGCAGCCCCAGCCCCAGCCCCCGATGGTGCCAGCCGTCAGACAGTGACCTCGGTCTTGCTGTTGGTGGCGAGGTGCCGGG